GTGCGTTTTATCTATCTATCTATCTATCTATCTATCTATCTATATGTATCTATATATATATATATATATATATATATATATATATATATATATATATATATATATATATATATATATATATATATATATATATATATATATATATATATATATATATATATATATATATATATATATATATATATATATATATATATATATATATATATATATATATATATATATATATATATATATATATATATGTATATATATATAGGTGCATAAACATACATATATATAAAATTACGTTTATGCACGCACACCCACAAGATTAATAGATTTGAATATTTATTAAGTAAGGTTATAATTGTACTTTTATTTGTTTATACCATGTGAGTTCCACTGATAAAATGATTGATTTATCGTATAACACACACACATACACATAATCATATACACATGCATATAAATACAGATACACATATATACATATACTTATGCATATACATACACATACACATATATACAAACATACATATATTTGTGTGTGCGTTTTTGTGTAACATATATATACATATATATATATATATATATATATATATATATATATATATATATATATATATATATATATATATATATATATATATATATATATATATATATATATATATATATATATATATATATATATATATATATATATATATATATATATATATATATATATATAGATAGATAGATATATATATAGATAAAGAGATAGAGACAGAGACAGAGACAGAGATTGAGATTCACTGACACAGATAGATGCACAGAGAGAGAGAGATGGAGAGAGAAAACTAATATAAATTTGATAAAGATGACGAGAGGACGAGGCGAGCCATTCGGTCAGTGGTTCCCAAACAGCAAGATTAAACGCATTTAAACGACACTTCAATGCTTTGAGCTAATCGGCCGGGTAAATTCATTAGGGATAATGAAGGCTGTGGTGACGTGGTTGATTTTGCAATCTTGGTTATTGCTTTTTGAGGTCAGAGCAATAAAAGGACATGAATCCTAAACCCATGATAAAATTCATAGATGCATTTCTAGAGGAAAAAAATCATACTCTTACGTAAATACAGACACGCTCATGTATTCATGAATATATATACATATAAATATGTATATACGTATATATATATATATATATATATATATATATATATATATATATATATATATATATATATATATATATATATATATATATATTGGTATATACACACATATACATATACATATACACATATACACAAACCAAACACATATCTATCTATCTATCTATTTATCTATCTATCCATATACAGTCACATACATATATATGGTACCTATAGTATAGTACACATAGATCTTTCCCACCACCGATGACCTGCAAGTGACAAGTAAGGATGACTGTACAGAGAGTGAGGCACGTGTCAAGCCAACACTGAGAGTAATCTGGGAGGGAAATATAGTGTCTTGACTGCTATGTTCTACTTTCTTGCAACTTTCTCGTATCTTTTATTTCAAGGATTTCTTTATATCGTGAATTCGTTTTTTTTAATGAAGATTTTGCTAGTATTTTGTTAGAATACGACGCTATCCATATCTATCTCTCTGTCTATCTAACTGTATAACTGTTTAACTGCTTTCCTTCCTTTATATCTATCTATCTGATTACCTACCTAGCTAGCTGTCTACCTACCTACCTATTTATCTATCTACCTACCTACCTATCTATCTACCTATCTATCTATCTGCTTGCTTATCCATCTATGAATCAATATATCTATTTATTACCTATCTACTTACCTACCTACCTATCTATCTACCTATCTATCACCTTCTCTGTTGAACAGAATTCGACACAAAATTATTGTTCAATTGCTATTAGGTTTTCCATGATACTTGATAAAGCTTATTTTAACAATTAGGAAGAGACAATGTTCGAATTGATATTGGTTAGTTACCCAATGTCATTATTCTTTCGCGTCCAAATAGATATCTTGTTCTTGAAGATAAGAATAATAAGGAATGGTTATCATTGTAAGATTAGTGTTAGTGAGACTATTGATATAGATACCTTTTTTAATGCGCTCGTAATGGGACAAAGAAAAAAGTTTATTGGCAATTGGGAACGATTAGACTATTATATAATTTTGGGATATTAATTCACTTTAATCTAACCAGTCACTTCGCTACCGAGGCTTCTCATTTGAATATCTATCATAATCCTTACGATTAGTTGTTTTGATCTTGGATTTAAGCGTCAATGACCACTGGCCTGATGTTTACTCCATCTCTTTGGGAAAAAAATATCATATATTTTTTGGGGGGTTATCTCACATGCGCGAAAATGTGACCGAGTTCACGAGTGCATCTTAGTATACTCTGCACATGCGTTTGTTTGAGATGGTTGTTTTTGCATCAGATTACTTGTGTTTAATTAATTAGCAGCTTTCTGACCCATGTGCTGTCAATTATTATGTTTCATATTTCCAATTCTTATAAATGCCAAATAAAAATCTATAATCATTTCTCTCATTTTTTATACATCATTGTTGGTTCATTTATACCATTTTAGTCCCATATTGTCTTCATCTACTTAGTTTTTCTCCTTTGACCCTACTTTTTTTCTTTAAATATATCTTATATTTTAGATTTATATGTTCATTCGTCATTTTATTTGGGCGTTTTGATTTCCCTGATATAATCAAGAATAATACTTGACTTAATTATAATTCTTGTATAGCTGTCTGTGTCTTAGGATATCAACAAACTTATCATATTATGCTGTGTATCTCTGTCATGATAGATAACAAAATTACGATATATAATTCAAGGAAACTGAAAATTCTCAACAGTTAAAAAAAAAAAAAAAAAAAAAAAAAAAAAAAAAAAAAAAACATACAGTTTATCAAGATTCCTTACAGATTCTTCCAAGTCTGGGTGGAATTTTGAATTTATTTTTTCACTTAGCGGGAAGAAGATATTACGGATGCATATTTCGAATTTTCAATGAATAAAAGATGAAATAGAAGATATACGACTGCTCTGTTTAAAAGTTCACTTGTCATCTGG